GTATATTTCTCTGCTGCAGTTGGCATGGGCTTGCTCTAGAATCTTAGGGGTCTACATTGTGATTCTCCTGCTGGGGTTTGTCTTAAGTGGCCACCACAGACACACAGGGTCTACCAGGCTGCATGGCCAAGCAGCAGGCACACTTACACCACAGCCTGGACTTACTGCGGTGCCCTTTCCTTTTCTCAGTGTCCCTGAGAGCTGGCACCTTCCATGCCACACAGTAAATGTAAATGTGCTCGGTAATATTCTGAAGTTTGAAATATGTTACTTCCAGAAAGCGGAGAACCAAGCTGGGCTTCCTTCTTAGAGATGGGAGATAAAAATGCAATAATTCATCCTTTACTTTAGAGGGGATGTCCCAGCAAGCCCCGGCCCATTAAGCTCTTAAAAATTTACTGAATATCCTGAATTTTTACAGCAATTTCTCCCACCTTCTGGAGCACTTCTATCTTTCAGAAACCTCCAGCATACTTGCCACTTTTGTTCATTCAGTCTACTTACCACGTCATCTATAGAGTGGACCAACGTGATGTTCTGGGAAAAGTCCAGATGGCCCAGGCCTTTTCGGATTAAGTTATGACAGGGGGAAGGAGAATTAATGCAACCCTGGGGCAGAGCTATAAATAAATGCTGTTCTCCATCTCATGTGTAAACTGCTTCTAATCCTCTTCCCGGATAAAGATGAAAAATAACGCATACGTCAAATCAAGGGCTGCATATCACATCCACGTGAATTGATTCTAGAAAAGAGACCACATCTGGCACAACGGCTGTTGTCAAGGCTGCTGTGTGGTTGAGTTTGCAGTAGTTCACGTTTATCTTCCTGAACCTCCACGACTTGGAAGGAGCCCAGTTAGTAAACAAGACAGAGGAGGTGATAGAATCCTTCACCCCCTGCACTGGTCTTTAAAGGTCTTTCATTTCTCTGGGAAATATTGTTTTTTATTTAGTCTCTTGTCCTGAAGCCAATTACATGAGTTTCTGCTTGGCTTTCCCACTGTGATAGCTCTTACCACTTAGGTCAAGGAATCCATACGTGGTAGAGCAGAGTTCTAGGGCTACCACAACAAAATACCACCAGTGGGTTAGTTTAAACAACAGATATCAATTTTCTCACAGCTCTGGAGGCCAGAAGTCCATCATGAAGATGTGGGCAGGGCTGGTTCCTTCCGAGGATGTGAGGGAGAATCTATCCCCTCCCACTTACCTTCTGGTGGTTTTGTGGAAATCTTTGGCTTTCCTTGGCTTGTAGAAGCATCACTCCAATTTCTGCTTCCATATTCCCATGGTGTTCTCCCTAAGTGTGTCTCTGTGTCCAAATTTCTCTTTTTTATAAGGACACCAGTCATATTAGATTAGGGCCTGTCCTAATGACCTTAACTGATTACATGTGCAACCATCATTTCCTAACCAGGGAACATTCTGAGGTACTGGGGATTATGACTTCAAAATGTGAGTTTTGGGGGATACAATTCAACCCATAATATGTGGGCTCTTCCAACTACCAAGTCTGTCCATTCCAGTTATATTGATACATGGAGGATGGGGAGACGGCCACTGGGTGAGTCTGTGCACCTGCCAGACCCGGGCCAAGTCTGGCTTTATTATCAGCCCCAATGTGCCCCCACTCCAACAGGGGCGCCCTGGTGATGCTTCAGATCCCTGAGTGTCAACCACCGTGTATAGCAGCCCTCAAACTGTGTGTGTCTCCTTTCTGTTAGTGGCTGTGGGTCCCTTTGGGGAACGGCTGGGGAATCATTACCAGTTGCATTTGCTGTGGTGCTGAGGGCCCTTCCTCCTGAGAATCCAGCGTCTTCTTTAGTCAATGGGCTTCAGCCCTGAGAAGTGGCTCAGGTACAGAAAGTGAGCAGGGGTTGGGACTTATTGCCCTCAGCATCCCCACCAGCCATCCTTGATTTTGGTTGAATGTAGAGATGGGGCCATACCCCACTGGCTGCCTCTGTCTTGTTCCTCGGAACTCTGTCCTAGTTTCCATGTCCAGGGCTCTCTGAGGAGTGAGCTCTTCCAGCTGCCTTTCCAGTCATGCTTCCCATCACAGTAATCACATCCTTGTGGCTGCTGGTGGGGAAGTGCTGCCCCCAGGCCTCTGTACTTTGTGGATTCCCTCCTCCCACTGCTATCAGGGAGCCTGGTCCTGCCACAGCATCCTGTGGTCAGCCAGCCCCTAGCTTCCCAACAGTGCTTGTGGCTTCTCACCTGAGGATTTCTAACCATTGTCTTCAGATGGTTCCCAAGAACACAGGTGGCATGGTCACTCCTCTGGACAAGCCCCCCGACGTGTTCCCCCAGCTCTGGCTGGTGCATGTCCGCTGGGTCCTGCAGCTCCAGTGGGGCAGAGCCCCTCTCTCCCCTGGCCGACCCCACCCTTCCCTGGCTGGGTTATGTTGCAAGTAAACCCAGGTTGCTGGCGGGATGGTGAGTTTGGAGTAGGTCCTGGGGAAAGGGTGGGGGACGCATGTTTTCTTACAAGGCAGGGGCCTCTGCATTGTCGTCAAGCAAGGTTGGGGCGGAGATGCATTCATCAGAGAAGAGTTGGCTACTTATATAGACCCAGAGGGTTTAGGATTTGCGTATTGACTCAGCTGTCGCCATCTGGAGTGTTTGAGTCTCTGTCCTTTCCCATCAGGGCCCTCACTTTGTTATACCAGGCTTGCGGGGGTGGAGTCAAACACCCCTGCAGGTTTGTTATCCTTACACTTAATTCCTGGGCCGGAGCCTCAGCTGGTTCAACCCTCCGTGAGTCTCTCTACACACGGCCAAGGAGGTCCTATGGCTTTCACCTTTGTCTTTTATCTCCTCTTTTTAAAAAATTCGAGTACAGTTGATTTACAGTGTTGTGTTAGTTGCTGGTGCACAGCCAAATGATTCAGCTGTACATACTCCTTTCCATACGGTTTATCACAGGATATTGAACAGAGTTCCCGGTGCTCTACAGCAGGCCTTTGTCGTTGATCCGTTCTCTATGTAACAGCTTGCATCTGCTAGGCCCAAACTCCCAATCCACCTTCGCCTTAAGTTGATGACTGAGCCACGTCAGGCTTTCGCTGTGTTTTGCCAGCTCTCTGACAGTGCCCGGCCACAGCCTCTGAGCCCACAGTCCTCTCGTTGCCCCATCCCGAACCTCTTGGTGCTCCCTTCCAAGGGGATCTTATCCCATCCATCGTCTGTGAGGGCGTCATGATTGCACTTGGGCTGAACCATCTGAGTACATTGAACTGTTCCAGGAATTGTTCATCGTTGCCCATCATCAGCCTGAAGTCCATGGCCATCCAGATGGTGGATGGTCCAACTACCTACTCCCATTTTAGAGTCCGCTTCTTTGGTCCAGTATTGCCCAGACTGTCCTCAGCAGGACACAGAGATGGAGGCGTGTGTGCGGAGCTTCACTGGGGTGGGGAGGTGCTGTCAGGACCTGCCCTTGGCAGGGAGTCAAGCAGGAAACGGAGCAGCAGGAATGTGATGGTAACAGAGACCTCGGCCAGCCCCGTGGTTCTGTGAAGAGGGGACGGCCCTTCACAGTGTTCCGAATTGAGGCCTGGGGCTGGGCTGGCTGTTGTCTTCCCACACCGTGGGTCTTTGGATACAGGTTGCCCTTGGGAGGGGAGTGAAACCTTGGGCAAGGAAGCTCGCTTTGGCTGAGGACCATTCCTGGAGACACAGTAAAGTGTGAGCCATGCAGGTGACACCCCTGGAAGCCGGGGGGACATCTGAGGGTCTCCCTCAGCACCTGCTACAGGCCTGCTTTGGGGAAGGCTCAGGTGTGCCAGGCAACACGTCCCCAGCCCGTCTCAGAAAGGAGCCTGTCCACCTGTGTCCTGAAAGTCACAAAGCCCAGAACCTACTCCCCAGAAAAGAGTTCAGGAGCCCCCAGGTGTGCCTGAGCCCAGACCAGGCCAGCTTCCCACAGGGAGGACAGGGGTAGGTAGAGCACGCGGGTGCCTGGATCAGGGCACCTGCATGCGTGTCCTGATGGGGCAGGGCCGGGAGGGCTCTAGCTGTCCCCACTCCTCTCTCCCTAAATCCCTCCTCTTCTTGCAGGAACAAGGTGTGAGGTGCAGACAGAATAGTGGACCTGGCCACAGAGGTTCCAAGAGGCTGGGAATGTCTGCTCCAGGGTCAGGCAGGCCTCTGGGGAGAGAGAGGAAGTGGTTCCTCCAATTCGGCACAATGGGCATTTGTGGACATTTTGGCTACACAGCATCCATTCCTACTTGTTAAAAACATCGAATCTCCTCTTGGAAAAGTACTTCTCCCTAATGTGTGTTGCCCTGGGGGTGTCCATCAATCAAGGTGTTCTGCCAGCTCCAGCCAAGGGGTAGGCACATGACCCAAACTCAGCCATGCAGACTTTCTCTGGGACTTGAATTTTGAGGGGAATCATCTCCAGATGGAAAAAGGTGGTGGGAGCACGTTCATCCCACTGATGGGCCCTGAACTATCAGTGGTTGAGAGGTTGAGAGGTCCTGCTGTGTAGACACCCAGGATCTGGTCCTGCTTCCAAACACCGTTCTCCCCTCCATCTATTCCTTGAGCTGCCCAACTTTCCCCTGAATTTTGCTTGCGACCCGGAGTTAGATGCTGTTTACAGCCAAAACCCTTGAATATGATAAGATGCGTGTTCCCCAGACGCGTGTTCATAACCACTAGCTATGGACGTGTTGGCTAGGAAACCCATCCTGTTTCCTCCGGGATTTGCCACGTAGACTTTCAATGGAGTTCATTTTCATTTGGACGCCAGATCGTTTTGTTGAAATGTTATTGCTGAGAGCTGGGAGGATGGGGTGAGGCAAGGTTTCTTATAAAGGACAGATTCAGGCGGGGGAAGGTGTCATTAGCCCTAAACAATCCTTTCTCATGAAGAACTTTCTGTCTTGATGATAACCCTAGATATTCATTTTCTCGTAAAAGTTGTGCTTCAGGCATCGTCAGGACTGGACAGCATCAACGCTGACACTGCCGTTGAAAGTGTGTCTTCCATGCTCACTTCGGCAGCATGCATACTAAAATTGTAATGATACAGAGAAGATTATCGGGGACCCTGTGCAAGGATGACATGCAAATTTGGGAAGTGTTCCATGTTTTTAAATGTCCATTGACAGATAAATGGATAAAGAAGATGTGGTATACACACACACACACACACACACACACACACACATATACACACACAATGGACTATTACTCAGCCATGAAAAAGAAGGAAATAACGCCATTTGCAGCAACACGGATGGACCTAGAGATGATCATACTAAGTGAAGTAAGTCAGAAAGAGAAAGACAAACACCATACGACATCACTTATGTGTGGGATCTAAGATACGACACAAATGAACGTATCTACAAAACAGAAACAGACTCACAGACATAGAGAACAGACTTGTGGTTGCCAAGAGGTGGGGGTGGGACAGATTGGGATTTGGGGGTTAGCAGATGCAAACTAGTATATATGGAATGGATAAACAACAGGTCCTACTGTAGAGCACAGGGAACTATATTCAATATCCTGTGGCAAACCATAATGCAAAAGAATATGAAAAAGAATGTATATATGAGTCACTTTGCTCTACAGCAGAGATTAATACAACATTGTAAATCAACTATACTTCAATAAAAAAAAGAAATGTACGTCTTCTGTCTGCTTTGTCTCAGCTGCCGCTGGGAGGCTTTTGTGGATATCCCTGTGATGTGGGAGTGTTTTATTATGATCATGAATTTATTTTGTACTAACAATATACATATTTGGTTATCAGGTGAAATTTTATTTTTGTTAAATTTCAAAAGGCCAATAGGACTCACTGTTTGAAATGCTTCTTTTCTTCTGTTTTGCTGACAGACATGTTTTGAGGTGCTTTGGGGGTGTGTGTGTCTTATTTATTAATAGAACTGAAAAAGAAATTATTTAATGTTTTTCTTGGTGCACTGGCCTGGAAAAATATTTTTACCTTTGACCAGTTCCTTGCTTGGTGTATGCTGGCACCTGAAGCCTGGGTCTTCAAATCTCTCTTGAATGTGACTTTCTTTCCTTTCCAATAAAGGGAAAAGAAAACCCTTTATTTTCCTATTGAGGGTAGAATAAGCAAAAAATTGAGCTGAGGAAAATTTTAGCTTTTTATTCTAGTTGACCTCTTTTTTCCAAGAAGAGCATTTGATTCTCCCTTAAGACATAGAGTTCATAATCCCTGGTGCCATAACCCTCTCTCTAAATGTAAATAAATATGTGCTTCTGTTTTCAACTGGGTCACATCACTCCAGCTTCCAGAAAGTTTCAGTCCAAATTATGGGGGGGTCCATATATTTATCTTCTTAACAATCAGCCCTGGCATTCATTCATTCATTCTCCATTGAGCACATATCATGCTTGGTACTGTTCTAGATACTAACAATGCATTGTAAGCACATAAGAAAATAGATGTTCTTGTAGAATACCAAGAAAGTTCTGGCTAATTTTAGCCTGAATTATGAAAGTAGAAATACTACTTTATTCTATTCAAGAACAAAATATGGCCGGAGGATAATCATTCATGAGTTTTATGACTAGTGTTATTTACAGTTTTCTTTTTTTGTGTTCCAGCTTTAGGGTGAGCATTCATAGAATCACTGAGTCACCCAACAACACCGACTAAAATGAAATGTGTGTGTGTGTGCGTGCGCGCGTGTGCTGGGTGGGCAGGGAACGGACCCAGGGATGTTATTAAGGTAAAATTTTATGTACATCTTTCTCATTCGGCTTATCACCCTGCAGTGCCATCTGGTGGTTGAAATGAAGGAAAACAGTCCAACAAACACTGACATAATGTGGTATAAACATTTGGCCCCTGTACCTGTGATGAACATATAATTTATACAAACTGGGATAGTTTTGAATGTAAAAAGGAAAACTATTAATAATTTCCCAGGGGCAACAGGCATAATCTAAGACTGTCAAAGGCAAACCTATGCTAGATACAAGAGTAATAATTTTAATATATTGGGCATTACTTTACATGCATTATTTAATAAAATCCACATAGTAACCTCATGAAGGGTAAGTTCAATTATTCTCATTTTGCTGTTGAAGGCATGGGGCTTGCAGATTTTCCAGATGACATATAAGATGTCCATTTAATTACAGACAATCAACAAATCATTTTTTAGTATAAGTCCAGATAGTCAGGTAAGCAACAAATAATTTTTAGTATAAGTATATCCCATGCAATATTGGAGGCATATTTATACTAAAATATTATTTGTTGTTTATTTGAGATTTCAAATTTAGCTGGACGGTCTGTTGTTGCTATTGTTACTGTTGATTTTCCCCTAAATCTGGCAACCCCAGCTTGGAGAGGTGCAGTAACTTACTTAAGAGAGTGTAGACAGCGAGGATGAACTGGTATTTGAAACCAACTGCTGCTCAGAATGAAGCTCAGGCTCTTAACTGCATGGCTTACTTTTGGTGACCACGAGCCACTCCCGGCCAAGCAGGACGCATTTGGGTGGGGAGGCAGAATCCCGAGTTATTTGTCTTTCCTCTTCAGTTATATATGTAGGTCCGGATTGGGTAGTATATGAAGATATGGACTGTAATGATTAACCCCACAGTTTGTTTTAATTTAGTGACCTTCATAGAATTTGGGGGCAGAAAGTGCTGTTGGGCCATAGCAAGAACTAGACCCAGGCCCCGGAAGGTGCCAGAGGATTGGAGGAGATTTCCACGTGGACAAATGGAGATGCCAGCTTGGAACTTTGGGTGCCGAGCAGCAGATGCGAGGGTGGGAGTGTCACGTACAGAGTCCAGCGCTGTGAACGCAGAATTCTTAAAGGAAATGCCCCTGCTCACTCCCCAGCAGGGTACCATTATGAAGGGCACACGAAGGCCTCCAGCAGGGGCCAGCTTCTCTGATCCAGGTCGGTGGGCAGCCCAGCCATGGCTGGAGGGCCAAGCCTGGGTCACCAACTTCTAGAATGTGTGTTGGGAGGAACTTCTCATCCACGAACCCTTCTTAGGAAACCTACCCTCCAACCCATAGATGAGGCCCTGGCAGCTACTCTTGTTCTTGGTGGCCCAGCCCTGTGTGCCCACGACGGCAGGTGGCAGTGGGGACACCTGAGCAAGGTGGACGGTCAGAGTCCATCCCACAGGAACCTAGAGAATGGACTCAAGACACTAGTTTCTGGTGGTCCCCTGAGGAGGATATGAAACCTGGAGCTGGGAGGGCCCTGACAGGAGGAGGGGAGGGGGAAGGGAGAAAGGGGACGAGGGAGGGGGGAGGGAGAAAGGGGAGGAGGGAGGGGGGGGGGGGAGGGGGGGGGAGGGAGGGGGAAGGGAAGAGGAGGGAGGGAGGGAGATCCTGAGGCCTCCACAATGCCGGGAGCCCGGGCCTGGCTTTCTGGTGGCCTCCCAGCCCCCAGTTCTGGAGCCCTGCTGCCCAACGAGCATCGTATTCCAGTTCTGGAAGCTCCGTGCACTCCCCGGCAGCCCCTCAGCCTCCCCGTCTGTGTGGTGCTGTCAACACCGTCATCCCGAATGACATCCAGCGCGTGGTCCAAGAATGACAGCCCTCACCCATGGGGTCCCCCTCATATTAGATACAGAGAAACACTGCGTTATCTCCATTTACCCAGAGGCAGGTTTCTTTGCATCCGATTTCCCTGGGACTTCTCCCCCATAAGTGAATCTTGGCCTCAGGACCACACTGAGTCCACTACGAGGTGCGTCAGAGTACCGCAAAGGAAGCTGCCCTCTAGCCTGAGCTGAGGGCTCCTGCTCTGGCCTCCGGGGCTGCTCCCTGCCTGAGCCCTTCCCTGCAGCCACGGGGTCTGTTACCTTCCCGCCTGGGCGGCAGGCCTGCTCTTCCAGGCTTCCTGGCTGTTGCCTCTGTGGGACTCTGGGGTCTGGTGTCCCAGAGGATGGGGTGACCAGGGGACTGTGCGGCACGCGGAGGTCTGTCGCCACCTAGTGGCCAGGTGTGGCCAGTGGCGAAATCGTGCCCAGAGCAGATGACGTCCTCTTGGACTGGGGGAAGCAGCAGCATCCGTGGGCCCCTGGGGAGATTTGGAGGACCACTGAGATGAGCAGAATCAGAAGCCACGTAAGTCAGAGAACAGGAGACTTACATCTGTGGGCTGACAAGCCTGCCGCGGATAGGAGGCTGGCAGTAGTGGACACAGCGTTGGCTTGGTCCCCCATGGCCCCACTGCCCTGCAATGGACCATGTGAAGTGCCATTTCCTCTTGTGACCTTGCTCATCTGGCCACAGTGGACTGGCCTGGAGCTGGACACCAACTAAGACGGATCAATGAGCATTCCACCCTGGAGTTATGGATGTGAGACCTGCAGGATACAGTCAGTCCTTTTCCAGGGCTGGAGGGCAATGCCGATGGACCGTGGCTTTTGATGAAAGGGCAGCAGCAGGAGCTGAGCTTCACCCACACACGGGGAAGGGGAGGAGAGGGGAAGGGAAGCGGGAAGGGATACAGGTGTCGGGCTCCGCTGGGCCTGAAGCCCAGACCCGGTTCTGTCCATGCCGTCTGTGAACCACTCTGGGTCCTTATAATAAATAGCTCATTTTTGTTCAGATGACGCACCTTGGATTTCTGACACTGACAGTCGAAACAAAGTTGGATGAATACACGTTCAAAGCCAATCGGCAGCCCCCCAGTGTGTGCTGTCGGATCAGCCAGTGCTGTGTCCGCAGGGAGCCGAGGCACCTGCAGACCCCTGAGTCCCTGGACAAGCTCATGGGGACCCCGCCCAGCCGTGGGGTGGGTAGACGAGCCGAGGCCTGCGGGGGTGACCTGAGGGGTATTGGAAGGCCACCTGCCCCTCCCGCCTACACATCTTCCGTTAGTTCCTGTCACAGTGCCTGGGATTCTCCCAGTGGGGAAGCATTATTCAGGTCTGGACATCCTCTTCCCTGACCATCCTCCCTCCCGACCTTCCCTGATACAAACACCTCAGCGGAGGGTCAAACTGTTAACTCTCCACCCCTCACCGCTGTTAGACCACGGGCTTATACTGGTGAGATCTCTTTTTTTTTTTTTTTTTTTTTTTTTGCGGTACGCAGGCCTCTCACTGTTGTGGCCTCTCGCGTTGCGGAGCACAGGC